AGCTATGTTGTTCTTGGAGAAATCTCCCAAAGATCCCTGTTCCTCCAGCACTTGCTATGAGATTAGTAAATAAATCTTCCCGTATACCTCAGGCATTTCTCAAACTGCTACTGCTTTGCTGTATCTCAGTGGGGCTGTTTGTTGTGCTGTGTCTTCAAGGATGAGGACTCAGTTTCCTTTCACTTTCCTGTTTCTCCCAGAGCCAAACCCAGTGATTTTAAAGTTCCAGGTGTTAAGCGCCACTGATTGTAAGAACTTGAAGTTAGGCCCCTCTGTTTTTCAAAGCCAAATGTTATAGAGATTCGTCTTCCAAGTGTGGGTTTCTTGTGCATGGTGTGCCTGATGTGGTGGGGTCTTCTCCCCTCCACTCTCCATGTTCTCGGAGTCCTCCCTCCCACAGACAGGCCTGTGGGTCCATTTGCTCCTGACTCTGTCTCCAGTACCCCCCTTCTCTTTGGTGTGGCCTCTTATCTACATTTAGCTGTGTAGAATGTGTTCTGCCAGTCTTCAGGTCATTTTCTGGGTTATTTACACTGATGTGGGTGTTATCTAGGTGTATCTGTGGGATGAGGTGAGCTTAGGATCCTCATACTCTGCCTTCTTCCCTGAAGTTCTCTCACAATTTCTGTTTATTGAGCCTTAAGTTCTTCAAATTTATTAGTAGGATTGTCAAAATCTTTTTATATTGTTCAAAAAAGACCATACACAGATTTGTCATCTACCCTCACTCATAGTTAAGCAAAGAACCCTATTTATTTTAATTTTGAAAAGTATTGCATGAATCAAGAGATCAACAAATTATAGAAAAAGTCTGAAGCATAAGTTTACCTGTGTCAGAATTTCATAAAAGTCTTGTGTCACAATATATTCCAGAGATTGCAATATTGTTAGTGTTTTTGCTTTTCAGGATTGATTCTAGCAATTCTAATAGAGAACAATTCAAACACAAAAACTCCAAGTTGTTATAGAGAATGACGAGGCTGATATAACCAAGGTACAGTTTCTTTATTTGATTATTTTGAATCTAGGAGCTTCTGTCTTCTGCCTAGAAGGTGAAGAAAGCTGTAAAGAGGGTGATTACTGCTAATCTGCAAAGTCATTTTCTTGAACCCATCAGAGAAGTAAAGTAACCAGATGGCCTGAAATTTAAACAAAGGTGCCTCAGACACAAGGGGTTTTCATCTACACATGGGTGCTTTCACGTGTCATTCATCAACATTCACAGGGATCGTTGGGCACAGGTGGAGGCCAGAGACAAGCCTTTCTTGGTGGTGCAGCCTGGGAAGGTGAGCACCTGCTGCTGTGTCAAAGTCACCAAGCCCCACCTGGACTCTTTCCCTGTGTAACAAAACTCATAGTTGCTGGGAAAGGAAAGTGACTCTTCAGCCCTGAGTATAGGTGTAGGTCAGATAAGGTTGGGGAAAGAAAAAGATCCCTGTCCCATGGGGAAGGAGCAGAAAACCATCCTGGAACCAGACCTTTAGAGGCTCCTACTGCTGGGAGAGGTCAGAATCACAGAGGAAGCCCCATCTCTTGGAATGTTTTTTACCAGGGGATCCGTTTTCTGGCGAGGCCTCTCTTCCTGGATTGCAGCTGGCCATCTTCTCTCACAGACTTTCCTCCGTGTGCACAGCTGGAGAGAGTACACAAGTGAGTTCTCTGATGTCTCATCAGGACAGGAACTCCTAAGAGAAGGAACCGATCAGTCACTGTGAATATGGTGGCCTCTTGTTTACACATAGTGTTTTGTATCTTTGGTTAATAAAGTCAGCTGTGGCCATGACCACAGTGGAGAAAATGGTTTCCAGACCTGCCTAACTTGAGAACCAGATTGACTCCAGCAAGTAACCCTGTGAGGAGTGGAACTCACTGATGAGAAGGGTGCTTTTTTTTTTTTTTTTTAAGATTTTATTTATTTATTTGACAGAGAGAGACACAGTGAGAGAGGGAACACAAGCAGGGGGAGTGGGGGAGGGAGAAGCAGGCTTCCTGCTGAGCAGGGAGCCTAATGGGGGGCTCAATCCCAGGACCCTGGGATTGTGACCTGAGTCAAAGGCAGACACTTAACGACTGAGCCACCCAGGTGCCCCGAGAAGGGTGCTTTGCCTGCAAATTCAGTTATTGTTAATAATGGTGCTTTTGACATGATGTGGATTTGACAGTCCGGTTACTTAAGTGGATGCTGCATTGTTTTGCATAGTTAAAGATTTTTTGAAGAGGTCTCATTTATCAATTTTTTTTTTTCTTTTTCTTTTAAGTAATCTCTACTCCCAACGTGGGGCTTGAATTTAAGACCCGGAGATCAAGAGTTGCATGTTCTACGAACTGAGCCAGCCAGGTGTCCCGTGTCTCATTTATCTTAAACTTTATTGAGGTATAACTTACCATAAAATATAATTCACTGGTTTTTAGTAAATTTATTGAGTTGTGCGACAATCACTGCAATCCAGTTTTAGAACATTTCCATCACTCTGGTAAGATCCCATGAGCCCATTTACAGTTAATCCCTGCTCTTAGCCCTGGCCAACCACTATTTTACTTTATATCTCTATAGATTTTGCTTCTCTGGATATTTTATATACATAGAAGCATAGTAGTTTTTTGTGTCTGGCTTTTTTCACTTAGCATAATGTTTCTGGGATTTATCTATGTTGTAGCATGATTAGTATTTCCTTCCTTTTTATTGCTTAGGATTCCATTGTATATACACATCACCACCTCATTGCTGTCTCATTGCTGCCGTGAAGTACTGAACCCAAGCTTTCCAGGGTTCCTGCCTGAATTCACTGAGCAAATGTCTTCTTTGCATCTCGGCAACCCATACTCTCAATGATTGAGCTTTCCTAGGGGCAGAGATTCTAGTTGCAATGCCAGCCCTTTCTGAGCCTCTTTGCTCAACTGTTATTGTTGAAAAATATTGATCACAAGCAGGGATATTAAAATGGACATGAACTCAGGCAGAAATCTTTCTAATCTGTTCCTTCCCACATTCAGAATCTTATTCTCCCCAAAGCCAAATAGCAATGAAGGCCATGTTTGCACAATGGCTTTCTTCTTGTCTCTACTAATTATTACGGCATATTCATAACTCCTTCATCCTTCCATAGGAATTGTAATATTTAGGTAGTTCTCACCCTCAAAACACAATGCCAAAATTATCAGTAAGATAGAAATGCATTAGTGAAGATCAGGTCTTTGGGCAACAAACACTTTGCTATTTATGTTGCTATTGTCACAAAAAAGGTGGAACCAGCAGGAGATTGGAGATGATGTAATATTTGGTTTATAAAATATTTGTGAAAGTTTTCCTCTGAGTCAGCTTTGGAGCCTGAGATCTGCTTGACTATCATGGCATGGTGGATGCCTTGTGATCAATAGAAGATCCTAGTTGTGCGAATGTGTGGAGAGAGAGAAAAGCAATGGGATCTGTCTAGTTTTGATCCCAGTGAGCTCTGACTTCTAAAAAGAGGCAGGCCCTTCTGTTCATAATTCTAGGATTCCATGGGCAGAGCAAGCTGGGCCTGTTCTACAGAGGATACTTAAAAGAACCTCTGTAGAATGGTTACAAGTTAGATGGCTTTAGGGGTACCAGCCTTCTGCCTTTCAGTTCTTAGCCTGAGGTAGGTTGCAAAGGGGCCGGTTCCTCTTGTGTTCTGAAGCTGGCCTCTCTCTGGAAGGTACACTCCACTGTAAGTTAGGTGAAACCAGATGGCAAAACCGCCAAACCTTTGAGAGGACAATGGTCTCAGGCACTCCTTTGGGTTGAGGTTGTATGGCCATCAGGGTGAGTCTCTCCTAAAAACGCTGAGAACAAAACTAAAAGAGGGGCTTCAAGGGGGGACACTGCCTGGGTCTCCACCAGAATTTGCTTTTTGGAGAAGCACGGTAAGGTGCTGCGGTTACAGAAAGTTTGTCCGAAGAAGCCACAGGAATTGTCCGCACACCCAAATTTGTGCTTGGGAAGGGAGTGCACTGAGGACAGCAGGTGAGCAAGGTTTGGGGGCTGGGACCCGGTCTTGCAGTTTACAGAGGGAGTAATGCTTCACACAAGGGAAGTGCTCGGTGTTTGTACTGCTCAACTAGCAGGCTTCTTTCTGGTCCTTCCCCTGCTAGAGTTTGCCCTTCCTTATGGTCACCTTTGCCCAGGGGGTCCTCGACCTGAAGAGCCACCTCCTGCATCAGATCCAGCTCATTGTGAGGCAGAGGCTTGCTCAGCCCAGTCCTTTTTTAGGAATCTGCATCTCCTCTCAGAGTTGCATTTCTTTATATAGAAAAGGTAGGTTTTGTTTCTACAGCATCTATCGGGGCTCTGAAGTCCAGACAATATATAACCTGAAACAGTCATAGCTGTCTGTGTTGTACCATTTCCTTTATATTGCTAGTCCTTCTAAGGCCCCAAACTAGTGTTTTCAATGTCAGCCCCTGGCATTGTGCCTAGTCTGTACAGATTAAATAAATAAATATCTGTAATGAGGAAAATCGCTCGCTACTCCTTACCCTTCAGTTTTTACTGGCTTCCATAGACTAGGACCTTGCTCCTTACATGGATTAATGACCTCTAATTGAATTACTTTCCAAGCTTCTCGCAGAATTTGATACAGTGCTATTTCCTAAAAGGAATGGATTTTATTCAGAATGGTCTTTACTAGAGAATAGGAGTAACTAGAGAACGAAGGGAAGGAAAGTGCCTTTAGTTGGCAATCAAGATCGAAAAATGTTATTTGAGAAATACCCCAAAATGGAAATCCTGATTACCAGCCTGGCACAGACTCCTTAGAAATGGGACCCACGTGTTCTTGTTGGCCTTTCATCTTTTTAAATTTATTTGAGAGAGAGAGGGAGTGCGCACAAGCAGAAGGAGCGGGAGCAGGGTCCCCACTGAGCAGAGCCCGATGTGGGGCTCAATCCCAGGACCCCAAGATCATGACCTGAGCTGAAGTCAGATGCTTAACTAAGCCACCCAGGCATCCCCATTGGCCTTTCAAGTAAGACACAGAATGAAGTAAAGAAGGTTTATTACTCTTATGGAAGTGAAAAATTAGAGCTCTGGTTTACAGGCTGAGGAGGTAGGGGATTATGCACATTCATTTCCATTGTTCTACACTGTTGCTGGCTTACAGGACCAATTTTTACTTCTTGTGAGCATGCCATCATTATTATTGAGGCAGGCTGCAAAGCTTGTCGTCAGACTGTTAGAGACTTGCTGGTCTCCAGTGGTTTCTATGAACAGTTTATCCATGTGAATAGTGAAGGCAGAAAAGTCTTGACAATACAAATATCAAGGTGTTGAACGATAATCCCATTGAGGGTAAAATACAGAACCAGGCAGGATAGCTAGCTTTATTTGTCATTCTGCTCATTTCTTATTCCGGATACATGCAATTTACTTGCTTTCATCAGTTTTTAAACTAAATGTGCATGTCCAAAATTTGCAATAAATAGATGCATCATAGTATAAATGAAAGGCCACTTTTAGTTCTTGGGTTAAAAAGCAACTTCTAAAGTTTCCCAAATGTCTATCAGAATTTATCATCTATTATGTTCTCCCTGTCACTGTAGGTCAGATCAGAGTACATAGCCAGGAAATTTGAAGGTTTGATTTTTTCATTTATGATTACATTTGATTTCTTATAAGGACATGCAGACTCCAGAATCCAAACAGAAAATATGCAAATATGTTATCAGCTTGTGACATACATGAATATTCAGGGTTCCACACTACTATATAATGCTGCATTTCTTGGTTTTATTTGAAACAATGCATATTTTTAGCATTTTATGGTAGGATTTTACACTCATCATTTACACAAATTACAAGGTTCTGCTTCAAGTCTTTAAAAAAATTTTTTAAAAATTCAGCCCATGTGCAGCACAAGAATATGCAAAACTACTTTACATTATACACACTTTTTATCAAAGGAGATACAAAATTCTGGCTTGTAGTTTTAGACAAATACAAGAAGCTTCAAACTAGACACAAAGGGTTAACATTAATTCTCAAATATAAGTCTGCACTTTGTGTTGTATTTCTCTGAGATGTGAATATCAAATTCCTAAGGGATTTAACTTTTTCCTTTTTGCAAAGGAAAACTGACAAATGTCCCTTAAGTCCCTCCCCATCATCTCAATCTTTTTATCCTCCTACTCTCCCTTCCCTTAGTGCTAGATGCTTGCATCATATTATGAAACCAGGGGGGCCATTTACATACACCTGCGGACCAGATCCTTTTAGCTAAACTCCACTCCTGCAAAAAATCGACGCAGCCACAAACAGATGCGAATGGTTCTGCTACATTGTTATAAATATGACTTAACACTAGGTAATCTAGTCAGCTGTGATGCTGAGTAATCAAAAGGAGTTGAAAAAGGTCCCTACTAGTGTGCTTTTTATTGGTGACAGATCGGTGGCCTTAAGAATCAAGTTGTCTGATGCTAAGAGCACTTTAAAAGCTTTCTAAATATACATGTCCACTGTTTGCTTGAGGGACTTCTCTGATGCTTATGCATAGATATTCTTTTTCAGCATGTTGGAGGCAGTATTTTATACTTCTAAAGGGTAATGAAGAGGCAATAAGAAGAGTGAGGGCTTTTCCCGCCCTTTTAAAAGGTATTGTTTTCTATCACTTGTATCCACTGTTCCCTAATCATCACCCGATACCTAAATGTGTGTACATGCATATTTGAAAGAATTACCCATCTTTCACTGAGTCAGTACACAGCCAACTCTTGATTATCTGTAAGTGACATTTACTACTAGCAAATTTCACATTTCACATTAATCATTCTTTTTTGACATAGCTCACATTCGCTGTTTTACATCCCTTGCAGACTACAGCCTCTCAAGACCAACTTCTAATGCAAGTGTCATTTGTGTTTTCTGACCCTCACTAGGAATGTGCAAGGCAACTGAGTGAGCACATTCAGTTAGGGCTTCAGGAAAGAGCCTCAAGTACAGAATGGGGGCAGCTACAACTCTGAGCATAAAGAAGGACAAATTTCAAGTTCCTCCTGAAATAGCTCTTGCAACATACTTGGTTTCATTAAGTTTGTGATTTAAATTGTGACTGCAAAACTCAAAACCTGAGGCATAGCCACTATTTTATATAGATAATGGAGAGTTGGTTGTAATTATGTTGTTTCTTTATGACTTTATTAGCCCTTTCACATAAAAAGAAACACAAGAAAACATAATATGATAGAGATTAAAAAAGACTACCATATGACATCTAAAAGCATTTATTTTATGCAAAAAACTTAAATATGATTATGTGTACACAAAGAGTGCACACATTACCTATGCTGAACAATGCCAAGAAACAATATATTGATGCAACAGTTGTTTTCTAAAATAAACATAAAAACTGAGCCCAGACAGGCAGACAAAAGCAAAATACTTATTTCCCAACAGCACAATGCTGAAGATTGATAGCAATCCTAAACACCTCCAACTTCCTTACAAAGCTGCCAAAGTCCAACTATTTAAAAAAATTGACTTTTTCTTTACATCAATAATAAAAATCTGGTGACAAACATTATAAAACCAAATGCTGGGCAGTCTTTACTCCTTTAAAATTCCAAATATTCCAACATAATCACAGGAGTAAAAACCATTTTAAAGTGATATGCTTTATGAAACAAACAACAATATGTACATTTATTGCAAATTATATTAAGCTAAAATGGAGGGGAATCAAAATATGAAGTGATATGAAATCAATAATAATTTTATTTTCTCACTCTGATAAAAATCAGAAAGCAACATTTATAAAATTGCCACCACATCACTTTTCATAGCAGGGAACCGAAATCTGTACATCTCATTTTTGCAGAAAAGTAGGCAGGCAGAAAGAATTATACATAAAAGTTTCCAAAAGGAAAAACAAAGAAATATTTAATCTGATCTCTTCTAAAAAATTAATTCAGTAGACTTTATTTTTTTCTGTGTAACATGGGAATTCCTGGCTCTAAAATTGATGAATTTTCAGTGTCAGTGTAAGGACATCCTGTTACTTTCTTTAAAATAAAAACTGCAGCATGGAAATTAATGGTGTATTATGCCTTTGAACTCCAGATATGCAGGAACTGGAACCAAGTGTTAAGCAATTTGCTTAATTATTGACTTTTCGTAAGAAAAGTCTAGGGGGGAGGGGAGAATAGAGTTGCTTTTAGCTTCTCTCTCAAGAGTTTCTGCTGTACATTTCCATCAAAGGACTTGTGGTCATGTAAAAGGAAGTAATAGTTTCTTTCAGTTTTCAAGGCAGAAAGTGTGTTCTGAAGTTAACTTCATTTTCTGTTCAGGGACATTTGAATCCAAGTTTTTGCAGAAGCTGGAGACTGCTTCTGTTTGGCTTTCATTTTCTCCCTTTGCAAATGAGTTTTCTTTTTACCTTGGGGAGGGAAGTAGAAGAAAGAAAAGTTAGAAAAGACGTAAACACACCATACCAGAATTATTTCATTTCTATAGTTATTATCTAAAAATCTCAAAATTATTTTCCCATTTTTCACCTGAGACCTTGTTTTAAGGAATCTTTCTCTAAACCATATAAACACACACAGACAAAAAAAGAAATACAAATCTTGCGCCCCAAATATAACTTGTAACTCAGAAACTCTGGGAACCAGTTATCTGTGTTTTAACAAGCCCTCCATGTGATTTTTTTTTTTTTAAGGTTTTATTTATTTATTTGACAGAAAGAGACACAGTGAGAGAGGGAACACAAGCAGGGGGAGTGGGAGAGGGAGAAGCAGGCTTCCCACGGAGCAGGGAGCCCGATGCGGGGCTCAATCCCAGGACTCTGGGATCATGACCTGAGCCGAAGGCAGACGCTTAACGAATGAGCCACCCAGGCGCCCTGATTTTTTTTATTTTTTTATTTTTTAAAGATTTTATTTATTTGAGACAGAGAGCATGAGAGACAGAGAGCATGAGAGGGAGGAGGGTCAGAGGGAGAAGCAGACTCCCCGCCGAGCAGGGAGCCCGATGCGGGACTCGATCCCGGGACTCCAGGATCATGACCTGAGCCGAAGGCAGTCGTTTAATCAACTGAGCCACCCAGGCGCCCGCCGATTTTTTTTTTTTTTTAAGATTTTATTTATTTGAGAGAGAGAGAGAGAGAGCATATGAGAGGGGGAGGGCCAGAGGGAGAAGCAGACTCCTCGCTGAGCAGGGAGCCCGATGTGGGACTCGATCCCGGGACTCCAGGATCATGACCTGAGCCAAAGGCAGTCGCTTAACCAACTGAGCCACCCAGGCGCCCCCTCCATGTGATTTTGAAGCATATAAGAGTTTGCAAGCCAGTGGCTTGGACCAAGTCATAATGCATAGTTTCTTCTACAAATAAAAAGGTATTGGAAAAAAAGAATAATGGAGGGAGTATACAAGTTATATTAATTGTATTTTCTGAAAATTATCAAGGACACTACTACCAATCCATTGATGTTATTAGTATGATGGTAATAAGTTCATAACTTCTATAAGCCATATTTGAGACTTAGACATAAGATAAATATTTTCTCTTTTTGCTTAATGTAATATACATCACTGTTTTTAAACTATTATTCATTATATACTCACTCTTCAAGTATGGAGATGGCTATAAGATATTGATACAATTTATAAAAAATTGAAATAACAGGTCTACCTTGAACATAAAAAAAAAACTAACCAATGAAGAAGTTTTTATTTTCAACCATTAGGTGCTGCTACCCAATGGCAGATTTGCTTACAATAATAAAATAAAAGCTACTCATTTGAAATAACTGTAATTTGTCATTAGTATTGCTTCAAAATAGTATTACAAAAAAAAGTTACTGGGCATTTATTTCTAAGCAGCTAAAGAAGTTCTGGCTTCCAAACTGGGTAAACACATACATCTTCTTTTTTTTCAAATATTTTATTTTATTTGAGATAGAGCATGGGGGGCTGGTAGCGGCAGGCAGAGGGAGAAGCAGACTCCCTGTTGATCATGGAGACCGATGTGGGGCTCGATCCCAGGACCCTGGGACCATGATCTGAGGCAAAGTCAGACACTCAACCAACAGCCACCCAGGGCCCCAAACACCTACATTTTAGTATCCAAAAAAAACCCCAAACCCAAAAAACAAAAAAAACCAAGGGGGAAAATTTAGCTTAATTCTGTTAAAGAGGTTAGAGGAATCAAATCCCCACTGGTCCCATTTCCCTAGTAAAGAGAGAGAGTCTGATTTTTGGAAGCATGAGCATGGGGGATATGGTCTCTCTTCTCTCACCTAACTCCTCTTTGGGAGGAGGAAGAACCCATCTAATCTTAATAGGTGAGGGGCGAGGGGTGGGAGGAACTAAGCATGCTGGGCTTGTCCTCTCCTGGATTTGTTTTCTTTTGCCTCCAAAAGGGGCATTTAGGTCAGCCTGTGGTGGTTCAATTTAGAGGCAAGGCATTAGTAGCCACCTGGCCTGTCAATTCCCACATCTTTCATCAGCCGTATCAGTATTAAAACTGGGTCTCCTTCGCAACAATTCCAAACTTGGGAGAAAGATAAGGGAGTTGTTTACTTGTATTCCACTACATGTACATTTTATTAAGATGACAATGCTTAGGGCGCCTGGGTGGCTCAGTTGGTTAAGCGACTGCCTTCGGCTCAGGTCATGATCCTGGAGTCCCGGGATCGAGTCCCACATCGGGCTCCCTGCTCGGCGGGGAGTCTGCTTCTCCCTCTGACCCTCCCCCCTCTCATGCTCGCTCTATCTCATTCTCTCTCTCAAATAAATAAAATCTTTTTTTTTTTAAAGATTTTATTTATTTATTTGACAGAGAGATACACAGCGAGAGAGGGAACACAAGCAGGGGGAGGGGGAGAGGGAGAAGCAGGCTCCCCGCCGAGCAGGGAGCCCGATGCGGGGCTCGATCCCAGGACCCTGAGATCATGACCTGAGCCGAAGGCAGACGCTCAATGACTGAGCCACCCAGGCGCCCTCAAATAAATAAAATCTTAAAAAAAAAAAAAAAGATGACAATGCTTAAAAAACAAGCTAAGTGATTAAGATTCTTACGGAGACTTAATTTGTTATAATATATAAAAAAGATTTAATAATGTGATTATCGAAGAATCCCCTAGAAGCTGCCTGCTTCAACTTCAGGAAGCTTCCCTTTACCAGCTCTGAGTCCTCAGTATCTTCCTGGCTGCTCTCACAGACTTTTAAATGATCCAGATCACTAGAAGAATTTCATGGACTTGATTCCATGTCCCAAAGGGAATGGTCATCACATCCAAGCACCTGGTTTCTAAGAAATGTCATACTATTTTGATAAAAATTCACCTGTTACTGAAAAAGTATTCATATCAAAGTAATACATGGTTGCGTAATAAATGGGGATACATACTTAGGGATTACTATGATTTTAAGATGTGAACCCAGGCAGTGACAGGAAACTTTCTCAATATACAAATGAGTACAAGAAGTAGGAAATTCTTCGCTTAAAAAAAAAAAAAATTCCAAGATTCTTGAACACTTCCACACTAAGCATGCTAAGCAAAACATATTCATCCAAAGATGGGAAAACTATAGTCTGTTTTCCTATAGGTAATTTCTTTATATTTAGTTTCCCCAGAAGTCCCAAATTTAAGGACTGTTTCTCCCCTGGTGTTTCCTGGTAGTCTCTTCCTTGTGGAAGCATTTAGCCTTAAAAGTGCAAGCAAAACATACCGAAGAATCAGCAGACCTACAAAAATACATTTTCAATGCAAAATGTTTGGAATTGTTTGCCATCTCAAAAACACAAAGGAAAAACAAGTAAACTAAATAATTGAAATGATGATCTACCCTTCACCCAAAACTCAGAAAGCCAACATTAATTGTCCAGTTGTCAGATACTGTTTCCTGACCATAATACACAAATGGCTAATTATTATAAATGTATAGGGTAAATTCCAGGAATTTTCTCAAAAGAAGTAACAATTTCAAATATAGCCCAAAATACAGACAGGAACATTTACTGGAATAAACGTGCGTGCGCGCACGTGCACGCACACACACACACACACACACACAAATAGCTGAGGGAATAATACATTTACTAGAAAAATCCAAGGGGATCTAAAAATTTTATAGTTAAGTTTACAAGTTAAAATGCTCAGCATCAACTCTCAGATTAAGAAGTAAAATCTAGGGGCGCCTGGGTGGCTCAGTCGTTAAGGGTCTGCCTTCGGCTTGGGTCATGATTCCAGGGACCTGGAATCAAGCCCTGCATCAGGCTCCACAGGAAGCCTGCTTCTCCCTCCCCCACTCCCCCTGCTGTGTTCCTGCTCTCGCTGTGTCTCTCTCTGTCAAATAAATAAATACAATCTTAAAAAAAAAGGTAAAATCTATGCCAGTAAATTTTTGTACATATTATCTATGTTTTGGATAAAGTATCCATCCTTGAATTAGTAAATAAATTCTACAAGCAGGAATCATACTAAAAGTTATTTACCTAATGCTCTCAGTAAGAGGACCTAGTAAGAGGAATTCTAGAGGGTTAGCACCTGCCACACATTATAAGTGCTGATTGTAGCATTAGAATAGCTCTAGAGGCTACCATTTATCAAGAGTCCTACCTAATAGTGCTGAAGGATTAAACAAGGTAGCAGAGACTGTGGTTGGCATATACTAGGGTCCCCAAAATGGTTTTCATTAATAAAATATAATCACACAATGATCACAATATAAATACCAAACAGTAAGATTGGGCGAGTTTTCTAGAGATGGTACTAGCACAATGTGTAGACTGGCGATCAAATGGCATACATGGAGTAAAGAAGATTAGGGTAATGTCATGGGGAGAGGGTCTTTTCGGATGTTACTGTGGAAACCTGTGACCAGAGCAGGAACGGATCATCTGGCAAGTGAGAAATTAAGCAAGTGAAAGGTATGAAGAATAATGCAAGGTTAAGGAAGAGACTGAAGTGGCATCTGAAGTTAGAGAGCAGGGCCATAGAGAAGCACTAGGGTACTTAATTATCAAAGTCTTGCATTCCAGCTTCAAGTCCAGGGGCAAACTACTTTAGTGCAGCAATTCAGATCTCACTCCACAATGCAAGGCCTCTAGGCGAGGCTTTGGAGGCTCTGAGTCTCCAGGGCAATAAGCAAGCTGACCATCACCCTGGGGTCATCCTTCTCACAGATTTAGTGTTTGATGGCTCTCATGTTTGGCAATCCTATTTCTTCTTTTAGTAATTAGCTGGTTGAAATTTTAATGACAACCTTAACAGGATGATTCAAGGTGTTGGATTAGCTCTATATTGAGAACTGTAATCATGTGGCTTTAATCTCTATGGGATCCTCACCAGGTCTCAGGAAAATATAGGTGGGATATCAAATCAATCACAGGTAATACCTGTAGTTAATGGAAGTATGCTTATTTTTATTTTT